ATTGTTTTGGCAAGACAGTTGTTTGTTCAGAAAGAAATACCAGTACATGATGATTGGTAATTAATGAGCAGAAACAATAGGGCAGCAGACCAGATAATGCCTGTCCTTGCTTGTCATTGCCAGATAAGACAAGAGTAATTGTTGTGGATAAACCAATCAATTCCAGATGGTATTTGCATTTAGCTTCTTTGGCTTGATTTGAGGGATTTATATGTGTTACTAACCTAAGTCACCTCATAACGCTTATCTTTCTCCAGACAGGAAACCAATAAGAATTAAATTGGAAGAGTGTGTTAATGATCATAAATTAATTAATTCTGGACAAAGGGTTTGCTTATTGGCTACATCCTACATGTTTATGCATTAGATATGCTGTTATAGCTATAGTTCTGATGAATATTCATAGAAACCAAAATGTTTTCTCATGAATATTTAATTTGAATTTAACCATTGCCTTTTGTCTAGTGTATTGTACCATAACTTCATTTTTATCAATAGTCTCAAATTTCCACTTGTTTTGTTTATCTTTCTGTTCTCTGTTTGAATATTCACTTGGAACAAAGCCAATAATTAGAGAACAATGCTTTGTGGGTTATGTAGTTGAGGTCGTGACACTTGTGTTGCATGTTCATCTGGTAATCTTATCTAGTGTTGAGGTCTGTCCTTTAAAGGATGTTCGGTAGGCTAATTCCGTGACATAAGTTCCTGTACGTCACCATCATACCTCCTCATATTGATTTTAGAGCCAGTGGTATAAGAACCAACTCACTCATCACAACTTAAAACAGAGTAAAACAGTGTTCTCCTGTCACTTCTATCAAGACAAACACTTGCAGAGGATATTGCTTGTCTGCACTTTAATAGCAAATGATATGATTGGATCTAGCAGATCATGTTGATTTAAGTGCTTACAATTATAAGGCTTAATTTTCTTGCTCTTGTGTTAAAACATCCTATTCAAATCTGTGGTTGGAGGCGAAGTATTATAATGGGAGAGACTTGTCTTTTAAATGCTTTGGACCATCTCAATTCTTACGTAGGTTTTCCGGACCAAACACCTCAAGCAGTTCCAGTCTCCTTGCCCTCCATCACACCCTTCAGTGACTGTGGAATGTATCAAGTCTCTGAGTCATTACAGACATTGAATGATTTTAATGCTGAAGATCTGTTGAACATTAAACAAGAGGACAACACATCTGATTATTATAGTGTCAGCTCATCACCCTGCTCTTACCTGGAAAGCACAACTCCGTCTACGCCACCAGAAATCTACAACCAACCACAGAACTTATTTGAACACACACGGCCCCAGTTTTACACAAACAATTATGGAAGAGGTAAGAAAATCTTCAATTATTCTCAATGTAAATATCTATACCAGCTTTCATGATTGTTCTTGTTTATATAAAGTTACATGTTTTTTGTTAATAACATGTTGATATGATGTGTTATACACTAGCTGAAAAATCCATTCCCTAATGTATATTTGTTGATACATTAATATTTGCAAGCGATTTCTTTTGTTGTTAACATACTTGTATAATGTGCTAATTGCTACATAGCCTTAACTACATATGGATGTTGTTAATAATAATAATAATAACAATAGATAGATTTATATATCCAAAAAACAAGGTCTCTATGTGCTCAAGAAGAAGACAAGTAAAAAATAATGTTTTTGTAATTATAATCTATGCTCATTTTTGTAATCACAGTTACTTTTATGTTAAGTAAAGTTTTCAAATGTTTTATTATTTTCAGTGTATGGATATGATATGTTTGACCCAACGATGGTAGGCTACCATACAGTTCATGTGTCAAAGGTCATGCCAGATCAAATACACCCTCACCGTAATGATATGAATATTCTTAACACCTTAGCGACTAGGACACCATCACAACAGTACCTTGACCAACCATCCAACCCAGTCATCCCAGCCGCTGTTCTTGCTGGTTATTCAGGTAAGCCATTGTCATTGTCAGTTACCAAAATCACTGGACTCACCATATAAAGATAGAACTATGATAAGGTGCTCAGTAGATATTATAGGCATATAGTAAGGGTGAAGTTTTGAGATTAAGGTCTGACTTAACCACTGAGCTTCCCTGAATTTAGAAAAAAAGAAAAATTAATCAATAAGCTCCCATTAATAAAAAAAAAAATTAAAGAATTTGAATTTGATTATTTGGTTATTTTGTTGAATAATTATTGTCATTGTTTATAAATTACCATTGTTATTAGTACGTTTATCAGTTCTAAGGCTTTTTATGTATCAATCCCTCTTTTATTTAAAGTAATGACTGTTGCAATTTTAATAGTTATTATATGTGGGGAAAAAAAAGTTCTTTAGATGTATAGGAATTTGTTTGACCTGATATTGGAAAACATGATTATATGGAGAAGAAGTTTGAACAGGTTTGTAATTAAGATTATAATTTTATGTTGCTTTTATTCAATTTCAGGAAGTGGACCCATCCAATTGTGGCAATTTCTACTTGAGCTCTTAACTGATAAGACATGCCAACACATTATTAGTTGGACTGGTGATGGCTGGGAATTCAAATTATCTGACCCAGATGAAGTTGCACGTCGTTGGGGTAAGCGTAAAAATAAACCCAAGATGAACTATGAGAAACTAAGTCGTGGTCTTCGATACTACTATGACAAGAACATCATCCACAAAACCGCTGGAAAACGTTATGTCTACAGATTTGTGTGTGACTTGCAAAGTCTCTTGGGTTATGCGCCTGAAGAGCTGCATGAGATGGTTGGAGTAAATCCAGCTCGAGATGATGACTGAAATATATTCGCCTTTATAACATCAATTTTTTTTGCATTTCTTTACTTATATTTCTAATATCTTGATGGATATTGGTCTTCTTACAGATAACTGTCTTTCATATTTTAACCAA